CTAGAATACCATTGATATGTCGGAGTGACATGGATATGTCGGAGTGGTCCAACCATATATCATTTAAGTTTATTATACTTTCATGTAACTTAGTTGAATCTGATTCATCGAGAAACATTTGTTAAAAAACACTATTACCCACTGAATGATGAAGTCATGCCCTCCGGCATAGCAACAGTCAACAATGCTTGATGACGGGTGATATTCCAAAAATAGTGACTGCGCAGAATTTATGTGCGCAAGGTTCACTTTTATATGTATTCGCATAAAACATTCAGCATAATATAATAAATATTGCATGTAGTTGAGTGTAACATTGAAAATTTTCACCCCAAGAAAACCATTGTCAACCGAGGCGCAGCCTCGGTTGGCAATGGTTTTCTTGGGGTGAAAATTTTCAATGTTACACTCAACTTCATGCAATATTTATATAATTTAACCCTCGATATCCTGAATCCTTGGGAATCTTGAAGTTCTTTCTCAGTAATATAAAGTTTGAGATTGTATTATTTAAATACTGCATGTAGTTGAGTGTAACCATGGTAACATTGAAAATTTTCAGCCTTAGAAAACCATTGTCAACTGATGCACAGCTGAGGTTGACAATGGTTTTCTTGGGGTGAAAATTTTCAATGTTACCCTCAACTGCAACTACATGAAGTATTTTTTATATCATACTGAATGTTTTATACAAATACACATTACAGTGAGTCGCCCGCGTGGCGCAGTGGTTAGAGCGTCTGCTCTAGAGTCGTGAAGTAAGGAGTTGATCCTTACGTCGTGGGTTCGAATCCCACTGTGGGACGTGGAGACCGGTCCTTTGGATGAGACCGTATAAACCGAGGTCCCATGTCGCAGTAGGTGCTGGCACGAAAAAGATCCCTCACCGCTCAATGGCCGTAATGCCGAGTATAGGACAAAATTTGCAGCTCTCCACCGGCAAGTGGTGGCGTCTCCATATGAGTGAAAAATTCTCGAGAGGGATGTTAAACAACATACAAACAAACAAACACATTACAGTGAAGCTTGCGCGCATAAATTCTGCAGAGTCAATATTTTTTTGAAATATCACCTGTAGTCAAGTAATGTCGACTGTTGTTATCCTGGAGGGTGTGGCTTCATTATTCAGCGGGTAATAGTGTTTTTAACAAATGTTTCTTGACGAATCAGATTCAGCTAATTTAAATGAAAGTAAAATATTAAAAATTATGACTTAGTCGGCCTTTAATCTATCTAGGAGTACTACAATTAGTAAATGTTTGGGTTTTTTAATACATATAATACAATACAGAACAATGTGTTTGGATATAGCAAAGAGACAATCTCATTTATGCAATATGTTGTAAAAATGACAATTTAAAAAAAAAATATTTGGGGGGGGGGGGGGGTCCTGAATCTGCCACTGTTAAAGTACCTGAAAGTGGTCAATAAATCACAACTTACGTAGGGAAGTCATTGATTACTAGTCTGATAATTAGTATGGGTTAGGAATTAACAAGACATATAGTATAGATTGAAATAGTAATACCTGCTTAACTGGGTTAGCAAAATAACAATGAAACTCCAAAAATTTTAAATACAGTCAGACCTTGATATCTGAGGATTCAAGATATCCAGGGCAAAATACCCAAAGAATAAGGGTTTGGGACTTCAAAATCCCTTCAACATATCCATGATATTCAATATATCAGTGTCATGGATACTGAAGTTCAACTTAAGTAATTATTGCATGAAAACTTGATATGTTTATATACATATACACTATGCATATATGCATATGCCCTATATGTTTGCACTATATATATACACAAACTAATTCTCATTAATTAGAAAACAGCAATATGTTGCTATACAGATATCATGATTTATCGAGTTTGGTGATGCATTGAATTCGCACATTTTAGGGTAAATACAATGTACAGAGCTACAGTTTATTAGACTTTTTAATAAGATTTCTTGTCGCCTGCATGACGCAGTGGTTAGGGTGTCTGCTCTAGAGTCGCGGAGTAAGGAGTTGATCCTTACGTCGCAGGTTCGAATCCCACTGCGGGTCGTGGAGACTGGTCCTTCGGATGAGACTGTATAAACCGAGGTCCCTTGTCACAGTAAGTGCTGGCTCGAAAAATATCCCTCACTGGCCCTGAGTGCCGAGTATAGGTCAACATTTGTAGCCTTACACCAGCAAGTGGTAGCATCTCTATATGAATGAAAAAATCTCAAGAGGGACATTAAACAACAAACAATCAATCGATCAACAAGATTTATTAACTGGAATGAAATCTATAAGACATCAGGCCTAAGGGAAAAAACATGCTTGTATACATGTACCATTACTTGCTAATAAAAAATAGGGTTGATAGGTAAAATTTTGTTTTTATTTTGTTTAAATCTTTTTTATAAAGGCATAAACATTGCAATTCATTTTTTTAATAACAATTTGAAATTTTTGCAGAAAGATTGGAAATGACAAGGGTTAAAAACATGAAGAATGCTGAAAAAAAGATTTTAGGGAGTGCCAACTCACTTCGACATACATGTATCCCTGGTATTTGAGATATCAGTATTCTAGATAACAACCTTCATCAAAAGAAATTAAAATCTATAACAGGACATGAATGCCTTACCCAGGATAAATTTTGATGAAACAAGGAACAAAGTATCAGGCTTCTATGGTTCAAAATCAGAGTAAAGGAGGAATGATGAGGTCAAGGTCAAAGGAAACTTTATAAAGGTTTGAAATATTATGACACAGTTGAATAACTCTCACCAAGTTTGTGTTATTGTATGTTTGATAGAAATATTATGAATACTTTCTTTAAAAAAAAGAGCTGCAACTAAAATAAATAGTAAGATTAATGATTAACAAAAGGAACAGGTCATAATTTGGACACAGTTGAAATGTTATCACCAATATGTGTCAGTGCAAGTGCATAGATAAAAATAAATTAAAAGATTTTTATAAGACTAAGCTACAAAATAAGGAATAGCAAGGTCAAGGTCAAAGGGAAGATCAAGATAAAAAAAATTGACATAGTTTATCAGTTCTCAGATATGTGTATAGATAAAAATATCTTAAATAATTTCTTTGAAATTGAGCTAAATGCAGATTGAAATAGTTGGGTCAATATCATAGGGGTCACAATAAAAAATTCAGGACACATTTGAATACTTCTTACCAACATGTGATAGTACACTGTATGTGTATTTGGATTAAAAAAAATTTGAACAGAAAAAATGGACACATTTGAATAGTTCTCACAATATATCATTGTGTGAATTTAGATAAAGATATCTTGAATACTAAGTATTTCCTTTGAAAATCAGCTGAATGTTAAATTCAAGTGTAGTAAAGTCAATATAATAGGGAAAGTCAGACTTTCAGAGGATTGTTGGAAACATGCATTAAATAATAATTATTTCTGATTTAATTGTAATATTATTTTTTTTAGTTTTGAGGGTAGGGGAATCATATTCAACATTTTCTATTATATTGTCAATTTCTATCAGAGCCTTCCTATTTGTGTATTTTTTTATGCACTGTACAGCAAATACCTGACCATCCTTAGATTTATTTACAACTTTTATGAGTCTATATAAGCAGGCAACACATTTTTTCTTGGAACACTTTAGATAAACATACGTATGTACAAGTAAATATTTTTTGGAAAGAATTTTCAGCATAATGTCATGAACCACAGAAAGCATACAAAATAATGCAACATCCGCTTAATAAGTTTATTTGGCTTCGTATTCTTAATTACTAGGATAATTTGAATTGCAATATCAATTACATTCAAGTTTCCACAAATTTATAGTCCATGAATAAGAGACTAGGCAATATTATTCACCAGAGTGGGACCAGTGCATAAACATAGATTTATAAAGTCTTAAATAAATTGGTCCCATACCTTCCACTGCAGTGAAAGAATACATTTCCCGTCCTCATTTTGTATGAAAATTAAATCAAAGTAAATTAAAGTTCATAAATACACCTGTACATATATACAATATAATATGACCTTTAAATTTCTCCTTCATCAGCCATGTTGAGGCTGTGGTATAGATGGCTACTACTTGAAGGGTACAGACTCCATTCAGTTGCAAAATATTTGGTGATTTCCTTTTCTAAATGAAATATTTGGGAATTTTAAATGTGCATGATTTTGGATATCATGCAACCTGAAAATGTTTGAAAGTTGTATAAAATCTTACTTGACCATGACACTTTTTTTATTTCTAAGGAAATATGACATGGATTGTTTTTCTTGTAATTCTAGCAGGGATATATCCACTGCAATTCAATCAAGGATGTAAAGAGATTTTCCTCTGGTAAATTGTATTCTATACATCCTCAGAGGCTGAAGCAGCAAGCTAACTTGTAATACAAGATTTGATTGTATATAGCAAGCCAGCTGGTGTAATTTAGTATGTACTATGTACAGCTTGAGCCAAAGGTTAAATATTGTGATGTCACAAGGCATAGTTGAAAAGCACTGGGGCCTTCTGCACACATGTATGGAATACAACACAGAGTAAATCCCCTACACCCTTGATTCAGCCTCAAGGTGTATGGAATACAATCCAGGGTAAATCCCTGTACACTCTTGACTAAAAGTATACTATATGCTTCTAACATACTGTCTAAATTTTAAATGTAGCATACTTTCTAAATCTAAATTGATTAATTAATTTCCTGATAATTTGATTGAATTGATTAATTTGACAGTTTTGCACTGAAGGCCAGGTCTAAATTGTCCAAAAACTAGGAGGAACCTGTGATTAGAGGGTTTATTTCATGGTTTTGAATTACTATTCAGGAGTCTTTTCTCATTTCATAATAAAAGCAGGGACCTTTACTAGGAGGGGGTTCGGGGGGGGGGGGGGCAACTCCCCTTTTATAACCAAAATTATTCGTATAAAGATTAAGAAATTTTATTTTGTTGTTGCTAAATATTGCATTTATAATTTGTGTCCAGGCCCTTAATCTTTAGACACCCTTCTGGATCCGCCACTGCCCTACAGTTACTGAGTTATATAGATTATGTATGTAGGGTCTTTTGTTGTTAAAATGACTTGTCCCACCCTAAAATGGCCAAAATAAGTACCTTTGCCATCATACTTTGCAACTGTCCCACTCTAAAAGTCATAAATATTGCCTGCATATTACAAGATTTTCATTTTTCAGAAATGTGCTGGTTACCGGAAGTTCACAAGAACCAGTTAAGCGAAGGTAACACCCTACAACATGCAACATGAACATGAACTGATCACCGGGACTGCATTGCGTATGAAAGACAGTTTTGTAAGTATTTGTAAGCTTTAAAGTATAAAAATCTTCTCTTGTTACTTTTTGAAGATGGAAATTTAGAAGATGCTTGAAGTTCATCGTATGTAGTACTGTGAACTTTGGAAAGTTGTCACTTAGTTGAGAAAATTCGAACTAGGTCAGCTGTATGTGTCAATTTTTCGGAACGATAATCTTTATAGTGCCCGTTTTGTTCATTTTTTATACATGTACAATGAACACAGTTGGGCCTGCATTACAGTCTATCCTTGTTTGGGATTGGGAAACACAGAAAAGTTACAGTGTCTGTTTAAGGGTTTTTGGTCAACTCGTATGATCGTATCTAGGTCAGATCTTCTCCTACAAGTAAGAGCCTCGGTTAAACGTCCCTACGCTCCTTATATACCTCGGAGCGCCAAGTCAAAAGTATATCGCCGTGAACCTCTAGCATGTTGAGTAGATCAGATCAAACCCAATAGGTCAACTCATATTAATGAAACGACAAAATTCGTAACCAGGAGAATTGTTACAAGCTGACTCCCCTATATAAATTGATGACAACTCGTAACTTAACAATATTAACAACTTATTACCCCTTTTGAGGTCAACATGGTGAAATACGGACCCAAGACTTGGTCTACGAGGTGAACTGACCTGACCATACATAGAATGTTCTATCGTTAAAATGATAAATGTCCTACGGACCCTGTTTAATGATAGAATGCATTCCGTGTATTGTCTATGTAGCAAAGAAAATACGGGAGATAACTCTAACTTAGTGCATTTACTATGAAAAATCCTGAGAGTTCTGAATGTCAACATGGTGTGTAAATTTGAAACGAGTAAAAAATGTTGGTGAAAAAGTGTTGAATTCTTCCATTATATGGATTAAATTTTTAGATGAAAGGTATTTACAGTCTCAAAAAGGTTTGTTATGATTAATTTGACTGTTATTTTCAATGCAACTTCATTAATTTTCTCCAAAATCATTTCGGAGCGATTCTGCAATTTTCTGCTATATTACTGGTATAGGGGAGGCATTCTAACTGTAGTGAGGGCCTGTCCCAAGACACAGTTAGATTATTCTAATTAACCTGACCAAGGCCACATAGTGGCCGAGGTCAGGTCTGGTTAGCAAGTCGGTCATGTCAAGGGTCCTTCTTTTCATCATGTGGAACTCATATGGGGTATCAATTGTTTTATTTTACCGATAAGAAAATTATATATTATACACTTGAGTGCATGATATTGCATTACATTACCAATATTTTTTGAATGGGATCTTGATTCGCTAGTGAAGTTGTTTATGCTGACTTCTGAAGTTTTTGCATAATGATTTACTGATTAAAACAATTTTTGATTGACAGTAACATGCATTAAATTGTTATGCCCTGTTCACACGGAGAGTTTAATTCACAGTAAATTAATGCGAAGTAAATAATGTGAATTAAAATAATGCGAATTAAATTGTGTTCACACGACAGCTAATGCGAAGTAAACTAATGGGAATTAAAATTTTATTTCTACAGTAAGGCTATTCAGTAAGGCTATTATGACGTCATTTTCAAATCACATCACCTTATGCGCAGCAAACCCATATTACATTCTGTCATAGTGTCTATGCACATTTCAGTGATTAACGTAATTTTTCTTTGTTTTCCACTAAAAAATAGCATAAGTATCCATATCTGTCCACAGACATGTGGCATGTGACTTAATTGTGCCATTACGCATGCGTCAAAATTTAATTGGAATTAGCTTCGCTTAGCGTTCATACGGAGCTAATGCGAAGTAATTTAATGTGCAGTTAATTAATTTGAATTAAACTAATTCGCATTAAATTCCCTGTGTGAACGCGGTCCAAATTTAATTCGCAGTAACTTATGTTTTATTCGAATTAAACTCTCCGTGTGAACAGGGCATTATAATTGAAGGTAACTTTTACTGAGCAAAATGAAAATCTGGCGCAGAATTTTACTATAAAGAAGAGCCAAGTCTGCATTTCCTGGAATTGAATTGTAACAAAATTTTCAAATGAATAAACAAATAAATTTTTTGACTTATAGGCCCTAGATCTGTTGTATTCCATATCATAAACAGACAATGCAAATTTTATAGCACACTTTTTTAACGTATATTCATTATTCTATGCATTAAGTCAGGGATCTATATACTAACGGGATAGGCATCTCCTTCAGTACCATGTTTACTCGCCCAAAACGTCACACACAACACTACAAGTTTTTCAAACTATGTTTATTCTCAGTAAAAAATTTGTTTTCTGATAAATGTAATCTGTTCTTTTTGTTTATTGGAATGGATATTTAATAAATTTTAAAGAATACGTTGTAAAATAATCTAAATGGAAAGCAAATTACCACCAAATTTTGCAATTCTCGGCCGATCAGGGGCATGTGTTGATTTAACATGTTTAAGTGATTCAAATTGAGAGCTAATTATGGGATATTCCAAATTATTGACTCAATGAAATTGAGCCTATGAAATTTTCTGAAAGAAGAACAGAGGTCAGTATATATATACATATAATTATAATAGTAACTTGATCCGAAGAGCCGTATCATGTCAAGTTGACATGCACGGATCTTCAGATCAAATGAGACGCGAAGTGTCGAGTTTGATCTGATGATCCGTGCCTGTCAACGAGACGTGATACGGGTCTCAGGATCAAGTTACTGTTATAATGATAAATTTATTATATACCCCTTTACAACTAGCAAAATATAATAAAAGGAAACTTTTAGGATCAATTACATAACTTTTATCCGTTTAGCAAACCATTTTATCAAGGAACATTTTGATCCGTGAGAATAAAAACAGCATTTATCCGTGTCAACTCAAAACCATATATGTTTGTATGTTAACATGTTAAGATTGGAATTGCCTTGGGTACGACTTGACTATGGCCATATGACATTGGATGGCAGGGGATAGTTTCATACTATAGTACGAGCTGTCAAATTTCTATAAAAACTGAGGTATCCCATGATTGTTGTGATATTTTATGTAGAAAAATGAATAGAATAATTATGGGATACATGTACATGTGCAGTGTAGCAGAGCTTGCTGAGAAAAATGATGTGCATCATGTAGGTGTCACTGTGATGCTTAGCATATATAGAGTTGTAAATGCGTAACCAAGACATTTGGTCAGTCGCAGAGGAAATTCAGCTGAAAAGCAGTGGTGTGCATCTCAGAGGGAAGGTGAATGGCCCCAGATCAATTGGTGAATTTTCATTAGGGCATGCATTGTTCTACAGAATACTGGGTGTTTTATCCTGCTCGATCGGGAATGGGATGGGCTGTATAGGTGCGACAGTGGCCCAAATCTTGGAAAAACAAGCCAAAATCTTTGGAGACCTCCAAGTGCATTTTCAGTACATGTGCACTTTAATATGTAGGTTACATGTTATATGTTGACACATTTTTTGAGTTTTAGATATATGAAGTGCAATTAATTAGCACCCAAGAAACTGCCCCAAAGTATCTGTTTTTATTGACCTCATGCATATGCCTACCCCCTCGGCACATGTTTGGCATTGAAAAGAAAAATTATCCCCTGCCACCTTGATAACAGATATGTGGAAATTAATTTTCTGTTTTTAGAACTTCATGGAGATTTGTCATCTATTACAGCAAGTATTTAGAATAAAATATATTTAAACCAAAATCATTTTTTAATGCCAACTTTTAGAGATCAAAGAGTGAGCCTAGATAATTAATTAGAATTTATTAGTATGGTATTATATTGTACATGTAAGGCCATTCCAAGTTTTTTCTATGTTTAGCGTCCGCATGTGCCTTGGTTTTTCGACATCCCTTATCAAAAAAAAAAAACAAACGAACAAAATCAGGAGTCCTGAAATTGTTTATTCTGGTCGAAATCACTGAATTCTGTCAATTTCTCTAAGTATTTGTCTACAATATGCCATATTTGGAATATTTTAAGCATTTAATACCTTGATTTTGCTGAAGAATAAATATTTCTATGAGAAAAATAGATTAATGGAATCATATCCTTTGAATGACATCATTTTTATGACTATAATGACTTGTGTTTTACTTTTTGGTTTGTGTGTTTTTTGCGAATAGGTAGGGAGGTATTTGAAAGATTGGTGGACGCTAAACATAGAAAAAACTTGGAATGGCCTAAGGTAATATTTTCCATGCACATCAATTTCATAAATCTGTGGTGCAGCCATGCAAAATGACTTGATATTTTGGAGTTAGGAACCACATCAGAGGAAAAGTTTGTTGCTTTGCCAGTGGATGTCAATATGTTGATTGGTGGCTCTGATTTTATTAGGTCACCTGAGTGACTCAGGTGACCTACATGTATCTGTTTTCATCCGTTGTCGTGCGGGTGTGCGTCTTGCGTAAACTTTTTACATTTTCAACTTCTTCTCAAGAACCACGGGGCCAATTTCAACCAAACTTGCCACAAAGTATCCTTGGGTAAAGGTAATTCAAGTTTGTTCAAATGAAGGGCCACACCATCTTCCAAGGGGAGATAACTAAGAATTAGTGAAAAATTAATGGCGTCTTTTAAAAATCCTCTTCTCAAGAACCACTGGACCAGGTAAGATGAAACTTATGTGGAAACATCCTCAGGTAGTTTAGACTCAAGTTTGTTAAAATCATAACCCCCAGGGGTAGGGTGGGGCCACAATGGACGATCAAAGTTTTACATTATAGGAATACATAGGAAAAATCTTTAAAAATCTTCTTCTCCAGAACCACTGGGCCAAGAAAGATAAAACTTATGTGGAAACATCCTCAGGTAGTGTAGATTCAAGTTTGTTCAAATCATGACCCCTGGGCAGGGGTGTGCAATTACAAAAATTAGTTACTTGCCTGGGCTAGTGGAAGTAACAAAGTTACTAGCTCGAGGTTGACAATCATCACTAGCCCATTAACTACCGAAAACAATACTTGTATAAGTATAACAAAAAGGTAAAAAAAAAAAAATTTAAGTTGAAATAAATAAAACAAATAATGGTTTGCGCTATGTTATTGTCAGGTACTTCTCCCTATTTTTATCGAATATAATTGTCACTGAAACGACTGGCGATAGCAACACACAATACATATATGTTGAAAAGATTTAAAGATTATGATTTTACAACAAAGTTAATTCGTACATCAATTCAGTCGATGTAAATATATGTATACTTTCATTTCAGATTTACTAGCCCGACAGGCTAATGCAGTATAGATTTATGATAGCCCAACCTCTAAAATTGGTAGCCCTGGGCGTTGGGTGATGGTAATTGCACACCCCTGCCCGGGGCAGGGCGGGTCACAATGGGAGATCAAAGTTTTACATGGGAATACATTGGAAAAATCTTCTCCAGAACCACTGGGCCAAGAAAGATGAAACTGATGTAGAAACAAATTCAGGTAGTGTAGATTCAAATTTCTTAAAATCATGATCCCAGGGGAGGGTGGGGCCATAATGAACAATGAAATTTTTACATTGGAATACGTAGGAAAAATCTTGAAAAAATTATTTTCTCAAGAACAGCAAAGCCATGATTGATTATATTTACATGGAAGCATCCTCAGGTAATATAGAGTGGGGCCACAATTTATGATCAAAGATTTACATATGAATAAATAGGAAAAATCTGTAACAATCTTCTTCTCAAGAATAGCAAAGCAACGATTTGTCTTATTTATATGGAAGCATCCTTGGGTAATGTAAATTCAAATTTGTTCAAATCATGACCCCCTGGGGTAGGGAGGGGACACAACAGGTGATCAAAGTTTTATTTAGGAATATATAGGAAAGACCATTTAAAAATTTTCTTCTCAAGAACAACAAAGCCATGATTAGTCATTTTAATACAGAAACATCTTCAGGTGCTGTAGATCACTAAATTTTCGGGACACTTCATTTTCGCGAGATAGTCACTGACTCCTTATTAGCGAGACAGAATATTCACGAAATGTGTTTGCTGTATATAATCTTTAGGAATACTTTTATAAGCGAGAATGAAATTTTCACGAGCACACTGTCTCACGTAATTACGCAAAAATAAAGTTCTTGTGAATAAAAAGTGTTTTACAGTAGTGTAGATTCAAGATTAGTCAAATTATGACCCTCGGGGGTAGGGTGGGGCCATATTAGAAAATGAAACTTAGCGGAAAAAAAATCTAAATGGGGGACAGATTAGAACTTAATTTATGAGTTGTTACTGTATATTAGACTAATTATTTCGATGATCATGATCATCCTATTTTTCTTGCTTTTGGGCAACAAATTAAGGTTCTTCTATCAGTTTATTTTATACTCTATGGATCCTCTATGGATTGTTGTTTTATACTCACGTGACCGTTAAGGCCCTTGGGCCTCTTGTTATATGATACATCATGGATATCATTTAATTTCGATGACGAATAGCAAGAGTGCAGACTGCAATGAACTTACAAACTAGGAAATCAGGCTTTCTTGCATTTTGTGGGGCCAGCCAAATGGCGCAGTGCACGTTTTACACTAATACAGTGGCTATACAAGCTATAATTTGGGTCCATTAAAAATGAATTTGTAAATTTTTTTATTTGTTTACCGAATAAAATTATGAAAATGTTGTAAATCACACTTGAAATAGAACATGTGATTTAGATGGCAAATCATAATTATTGATTTTCGTTTGTGTCGGCATCCCGATTAAAGTTTTAGGAGCAAGTCCATTCCCAAGTAACTATAAGCTGTACCTGGACCCAACTTACATGGATGATGCATCTAGGGATGGACAATACTAGACTTGCTTCAGATACTGGATCTGACCTAAATTTTTCTAGATGAGTGACCAGGTTAAAGTTTTTGGAGCAAGTCAATGCATTTCCAAGTAACTAAGCCCTACCTGGACCAAAGTTGCATGGAGGATGCACCTAGGGATAGACACTACCAGACTTGCTTTGGATGCTGGATCTAACCTTTATTTTCCAGATGAGTAATTATTAGCCTTACCAGAACCAAACTAGCATGGAATGATGTATCTAAAGATGGACACAAGAAGACTTGCTTTTGATGCTGAATCTGACCTACATTTTTCAGATATGTGACCAGAGTAATGTCTTTGGAGTAGCTCTATCACTATATGACATGTTATGACTAAACTTGCCTGGATGATGAAACTAGGGATGGACACTACCAGACATGCTATGGATGCTGGAACTGACCTACATTTTCTTTATGAGTAAACAGTTTGAGTTTAAAGTTTTTGGAGCAGGTCTATTCCCATGCAACTATAAGTCCTACTTTAACCAAACTTGCATTCATTTGATGATTGATCTCACACAATATTGGTACAAGATTTACCTTACTTATAGATACACATGTACCATTCATTGAGCTTTGTAATCTTTGATTACCTATGTTTATATGTTGATAAAAAAACTCAATAAACAGTTAACTTTTTAGCTCACCTGAGCCGAAGGCTCAAGTGAGCTTTTCTGATCACATTTTGTCTGTAGTCCGTCTGTCTGTCTGTCCGTCCGTCCGTCTGTAAACTTTTCACATTTTCGACTTCTTCTCAAGAACCACTGGGCCAATTTCAACCAAACTTGCCACAAAGTATCCTTATGTGAAGGGGATTCAAGTTTGTTCAAATGAAGGGCCATGCCCTCTTTCAAGGGGAGATAATGAAGAATTAGTGAAAAATTAGTAGCATCTTTTAAAAATCTTCTTCTCAAGAACCACAAAGCCAGGGAAGATGAAACTCATGTGGAAGCATCCTCAGGTAGTGTAGATTCAAGTTTGTTCAAATCATGACCCCCGGGGGTAGGGCGGGGCCACAGTGGAGGATCAAATTTTTACATAGAAATATATAGGAAAAACCTTTAAAAATCTTCTTCTCAAGAACAGCAAAGCCATGATGAGTCATATCTATATTGCAGCATCCTCAGGTAGTGTAGATTCAAATTTGTTCAAATCAAGACCCCCGGGGGTAGGGCGGGGCCACAATGGAGGATCAAAGTTTTACATAGAAATATATAGGAAAAATCTTTAAAAATCTTCTTCTCAAGAACAGCAAAGCCTCAATTGGTCATATTTATATGGAAGCATCCTCAGGTAGTGTAGATTCAAGTTTGTCCAAATCATGACCCCTGGGGGTAGGGTGGGGCCACAATGGAGGATCAAAGTTTTACATAGAAATATATAGGAAAAATCTTTAAAAATCTTCTTCTCAAGAACAGCAAAGCCCTAATTGGTCATATTTATATGAAAGCATCCTCAGGTAGTGTAGATTCAAGTTTGTTCAAATCATGACCCCCCGGGGGTAGGGCGGGGCCACAATGGAGGATCAAAGTTTTACATAGAAATATATAGGAAAAATCTTTAAAAATCTTCTTCTCAATAACAGCAAAGCCTTAATTGGTCATATTTATATGAAAGCATCCTCAGGTAGTGTAGATTCAAGTTTGTTCAAATCATGACCCCCGGGGGTAGGGCGGGGCCACAGTGGAGGATCAAAGTTTTACATAGAAATATATAGGAAAAATCTTTAAAAATCTTCTTCTCAAGAACAGCAAAGCCATGATGAGTCATATGGAAGCATCCTCAGGTAGTGTAGATTCAAGTTTGTTCAAATCATGACCCCCGGGGGTAGGGCGGGGCCACAATGGAGGATCAAAGTTTTACATAGAAATATATAGGAAGATATGTTCTGATGAAGAACTGCAAAGCCATGATTAGTCATTTTGATATGGAAGCATCCTCAGGTAGTGTAGATTCAAGATTGTTAAAATGATGACCCCAGGGGATAGGGATGGACCATAATTGGGGATCGAAAATTTTACATAGGAACATATAGGAAAATATCTTCTTCTCAAGAACTGAAAATCATGTTTAGTCATTTTGATATGGAAGCATCCTCAGGTAGTGTAAATTCAATTTTGTTCAAGTGATGACCCCCGAGGGTAGGGTGGGGCCCAATAAGGGGATGGAAAGTTTTACATAGGAACATATAGAAAAAAATTTCTTCTCAAGAACAGAAAAGCTATGTTTAGTCATATTGATATGGAAGCATCCTCAGGTAGTGTAGAGTCAAGTTTGTTCAAATGATGACCCCTGGGATAGGGAGGAGCCACAATGGGGGATCAAATTTTTACAGAGGAATATATGGGAATTTTTTTTAAAAATCTTCTCAAGTACAACAAAGCCATTTGTTAAAACAAATTATATATTGACATGGAAGCATCATCAGGTAGTTTAAAATTCAAGCCCCCCCTCCTCCCCCCCCCCCCCCCCAGTAATCTTTTCAATACTGAACTGATTTGTGCTTTTGCCTTGCCAATGTGCTCAGGTGAGCGATGTGGCCCATGGGCCTCTTGTTTGTAAAAAGTATCACTAGTCAACCAAGAAACTTGTTTTCCCTTAGATCGAACACAAGTTTTGGTGGTCATTTAATTACAGGCAAAGAATTGATTAAAATTTAAAAAAAATCTTCTAATATTTGGTCGATAAAATATTTCAGGAGGGATCATTTCAATGAAAAAACAAAAGGTTAACAATGGTTTTCAAAAGGGTGTCAATTTCATTTGTTATCCTCCAAAACAGGCACCATTTATATAGTATGTTATGAATTAAAGCTTATGTATTCCCTGATCACATCTGTTTTCAGAGAAGACGAATGTCACCTTCATCAGAAGCAGATTTTTACTGCCAGGCTGGCTTTGACCAAAAAGGTTTTGAGATCAAATTTATATCAGACTATAAAAGTAAGTTTATATTATTAATTTACTCTCAACATCTGTGGTTTTGTTTTGTAAAGTGGATGGATGTAGAAAGAATAATATTGCTTGAATTTCATATTTTTTCATTACATGATTATAATTTTATATGCTCTTAATTTATAGTTTTGTGCAAAAAAGTTAAAATCCAGATTGATCTGTATTTAAATTTAAGTTTGTATATTTTTTCCAAAAAATATTTTTTGTATAATTTTTAACATAAATGATGTTTAAACAAATTGGAAATACTGGGACTGATTCTAGAGTAATCCCCTAGTTACAATATGATGTCACACAAAGACACATTTAACAGAAGACTTATACCTGGAAAATAAGATCTCAGAATCTGAATTGATAAATTTTTTTGTAATATTTTGTGTCTATAAGTAAGTCTTTTATTGAACCTATTTGACTAAAGTGAGCATCGTGGCCCATGGGCCTCTTGTTTGAAGACAGTTTTAATTTTTAAAAGGTGATGTTGAATCTAAATGCTTTGATGTTTTAGACATCCAAACGGCTAGCTCAGATGTGGAAGTGGAATCGGACCCTTTTAGTCAGGAATTCCATGGGAAATTCATTTGACAGTGATGATGATGATGAGATTAATTCAGGTAATATATATAAATATAATTATACAAGCTGCACTACCCAGTCTGCTGTTAAGCTAATTTCATGATAATGTCATAAAGAGGGATTTAATATTTATCATGTTTATTCACATGTTTTTGGACACAAACTATTTTTGGGAGTTGAACTATGTTCAATCTCCCTGGTCATCACGGGCTTTCTAAGCGCAGTAATTTGTATTGATTATATAGTGGCCTTCCGTGGGGCTTCTGTGTCGACCAATTTACTCCTGTGATATTCAATGTAAACTTGCATAAACGTCCGCCATAAAATAGTCCATTTCAATTTTCTGAATTTATCTAATTTTGATAAATGATATGAAACTAAATACAATTGAATTTCATTTAACTTAATTTGAATACTATATTTTGATTAAATTAAAATTGATTTATACAGAACTAAAAAAAAATGTTGAAAATTGTCGTCACAAACCTCCTTTGCAGCACAAACAGCGGCACCTATAAACAATGAGAGGGAAATTAACGACAACTCTGCACATGTGACTATATGACTGCGCGAAACCTCTTTGCATTGACTGACGCGTGGTAAAAATTATTTCACAATCAAAGTTATACCTTTTTTTTAGCCATAAATATTCGAAGTTTTCAACAATATTTATTTGGTAATACAATAAACATCAAAAGAATAAACAAATTACATTGATTTGGCTATAATTGAACAATTGTTCGTTTAATATTGAATCCTAACACGTTTAACATCGAAGAGGAAGAAAATCGAAGAGAAGGTGATTAACGTACACAGAAAGATAAAACTTTAAGATAAATTACTAGATTAAGCTTTTTGAGTTTTCAAGTTGTTTTCATGTGGCATAAAATTTATAAGCATTTCACATATGAAATTCTTGATAAAATAAGTCGGAACAGCCAGGTCTGACATTCGAACTACATGTACGTATGTAAATTTTAAGTGGGAAAAACAACAAATTATAACCGTTTACGTTAGATCATCTAACAAGCTGAAACTTTTTTTATTGTTATTTTTCAAAGTTCCAAACAATTAATAGTCATGTGATGAAGGAAATAAACCATGGCAAAATCTTGCAAATATTTCACCTATGCTTCTAAGTATATTAGGACAGATACAAATGTAAAGTCTATACAACTGTAAATGAATTTACTGTGCAGTGATTTTCGGAGCAGAGTTGTCAAAATTTTTGAATCACTGTCAGACATTTGGTCTGACAAAGTCAAATGATCTGTTTGACTGGACAAAGTTTTGTCAGACCAGATACATGCATCTTATTTTGTACGCTGAATCGCTGATAAAGGGAAAAAAATAATAGCACTAAAATAAGATGCCTTTTAAGTTTTATGATATTCGATCTCACAAAAAGTCCTATCTTATGATACAGAGTCTCTAATCAGAGACATGCTTTAACAATTTTGATCGACAATCGTCACCATACGGACGATTTCGGTGTTTTGTGGTCCTTACCTAGGCACAGCGTTTCAGAATTTGCATCACGTTCAATGTTTTAAACGGTCGTTTGGACCACTGTTTTCTTGTACGTTATCGGTCCAGAAAATTCCTTATCGACCTTGCCGACAAGACTGAGTGTTTTTGATAACTCTGCAGATAAGAATTACTTATAAAGAAAGAAGTAAATGTGTGACAATTTCAGATGACATTAATTTTTAATCCTCAATTTCATGAATTTATCGGCATTCAGTGGGTCACGTGTACAACACTAGTACTGGACTTGAAAAATGATGTGTTACATTAATTAATGCATTTCAACATGTCTGCATATAAAAGTGTATTGCAGTAGTACGTCATCATTGAAAAAATGTTTCATTTGATTTTATTAATAAAAACAATTAAAATGAATGAATGCATGCGTGTGCGGATACAATGGCTTATTAAGACCAGTGATCGATATGCGAGAAAGATCGATCCTCATAATTACAACAGTTTTATTTCTTGCAGTAGCTCGTTAAACTACGTCTGATTTTTAATTAAAAAAATCAAAACAGATTCAAGTCGATCGTTTTAATTCATTGAAAGTTTGAAAAACTTGTCCAGCTCAGCTACATGTATATAGTATACCTGAAATTCAATTACATTGAAATTTGTATCAAACCAAAATCACAAATAGTAAATGTCACTCGCGTTGCACAGTTGTTCAACTTCGTTTGCTCTAGAGATTCAAAGTAAGGTGTTAATCATTACGTCGTGGGTTCGAATCCAACTGCGGTATGCATTTAGAAACGGACCCTTCGGATTAGACCGTATAAACCGAGATCCCATTTCGCAGTAGGTGCTGGCACCTCCCAAAAAATCCCTCACTGCTCAATGGTACTAAGTGTCCTGTATAGGTAAAAATTTGCAGCCCTAGCCTCCATTGGCAAGTGGTAGTGTCTCTTCATGAGTAAAAATTCTCGAAGAGATGTAAAACAAGCAAACAAAAGGCAAAGTATTCAGAGATACTTACTTCTGTATAGAAATTTCTTGACATGAAATTAAAAATTATGGGATTTAAAAAAAATACATAATGATTGAGTTATAAAGATAAAAACATTTTGATAGAAAAAGTAAATACAAAAATTCTATAAAAATTAATTATTGTGTCCGAAAAGAACCAGTTATACCCAAAAGATAATATCAACTTCTTGTTCCAATCAGAGGAAGAAAAAAATGACGATTTAGTGTCTGGTGATGGTAACATTGAAAATAAAGTGCCAGTTGGTTGTTGGCACCAAGGATCTTGTATATATTAGAAGAGAGTAGGGAGGGCTTTGTGCTTCAAATGCTTTCATAGGTATTTTAAATAGATTATCAATGTCCGAAAAAGTAAAGAAAGGAGCCCAGAAGATAAAGATTTTATTTTCAGAAATTGGGATGAGCTGTATCAGCATGTCCATTAATATTTTACAGATTCATATACTACTTCCAAATGATTTAAAAAAGTTACGTTTGTTTTGAGAAAACTTTGCTGCAATAGAACCATTAGAATGCAAACCATTCAAAGTTGTGTTGATTCAGTTTGCTTAACAAATTAAGACCGCGGAACATTAACTGGCAAAATTGGAAATATGCAACTTACGTCATCTCCATCTGTTACCGTCAAAATGTTAAACGATAAACAATAAAATGGGTGGGTACAATTTGACACGGACGTCCGAGAAAACATTGGATTGAAATTCTAGTTTGAAATTCATTTTCAATCCACCTCAGCTACGCAAGAACGTACGGTGTTACTGATTGACCAAGAAGACAAATAATTTCAATTTTGGAATAGTTTGAAATTTATATAAATCAGAATTTTCTGTCCAGTGTATTTAAAGAAATATAAAGGGACAAATATTTGATTTCTGTTTGGTATGTGAATGTGTGTGCTGGGAGGGAGGGGGCTGACGATCTTGGAATAAATATGAAAATTTTCTTTTAAATTGACATCCCCTCCCTGCTTTTGTTTGTCAAACAGTTTTCAGTGAAGACAAAACTAAAAAAAAAAGCTTTGTCATCCTAGAAATAAATATCTTCTATCATGTGGAGACATGATCTGACTCGACAATTTTTGAGCCCCCCTCCCCTTCTAGAGTAAAATGGTCGTCCCCTGAAAAAGTAATCTCTGTCTTCTTTTACTTTTACGTATCCTTAAAAGTATATGCTAAAGTACTCATATAAATATGAATGTCAAACAACATGTATTTGGGAATTGAAATTATTTGTCTTTCGGATCATACATTCACACTTTAGGTTTGAAAACAGCTCAGGTGGATTGAAAATGAATTTCAAACTAGAATTTCAATCCAGTGTTTTCTCGGACGTCCGTGTTGAATTGTACCCGCCCATTTCATTGTCTCTCATTAAACATTCTGATTGTAACAGATGGAAATTTAAATGACGTAAGCTGCATATTTCTAATTTCGCCAGTTAATGTTCTGCACTCTTATATTATATGGATTCTATGTGAGAATTGGCTAAAAATTAATTTGGTATATTTAATGAATTAAATAAATTGGGATTTAAGTTGAATGTATGTGTACAGGAAAAAATCTTCATAATTGCAAAACAATGTTATTAATATTGTGTAGATTTAGAGACCCCTCAGAGTTTGATATCGCCATATTGATTTATGCTGACACATTTTTTTTTTCATGACAGGCACGTAGCATAGGGGAGGGGGGAGGGGTCTGCCCCCTTTTTTTCCAAACATGAAATTTATAAAAAAATTAATATTGTAAATGTTCATTGAAAGTCCGTCCCCCTACTGTTTGTTGCAGAATATTCAAATAGGGGTGATGTAGTAGTGTATGAGTAAAATTTGATACTGAAAGAAGTTTGAAACCTATCCCCACACCCAAAAAATAGAATTTTCGAGCCCACCCCCCCCCCTTTCAAAAACGATGCTACGTCCCTGCATGGGAATATTAAGTGGTAAAAGTTTTTGAAAATCTGAATAAGAACAACACGGTTAAAGTCATTAAAGTTACTCAGGTGAGTATTGTGGCCCATGATCTTCGTTATTCAAATGTTTTTGAAATTATTTCTTATGTTTGATGTTGTATCTCTATCAAATCTGCAATAGTTGACTTGTATCTAAAGCATGAAAAAATGTTCCGATATTATAGCTCCTTTACTTCCTGTTAAATCTTTCACATTACAATGTTCAACTCCCATGAGTACTTTCAGTACTTTGATTTTTATGTAATGCCACCATCAGTATCAATACTTCATAAAGATAGGCTTCACCCGGTCTGACTATTAAGCTAGATTTATAATAAGGTTATGAACAAGGATATATTTTCATCAAGGAGCAGTGGTCTAGCTTCCACTTGTTGCAGTGTCTCCTAAATTGTGCACATCATTGAAGAACCATTTATAAAATTTTCAAATCAATCAGCCAGAACATTGTTATAGCAAACATGCTTAAAATGAATTAATATGCTTACATTGAAGTGATTTCCTTCCCCAGAGATTTAAAAGTGTTGTAAATGGAAAGTTTATGTTTATAATGAAT